GGTGATCATATGACTCTGGAAACATATAAATACATGTTGGTTGCCAAGTGCTTGAATTTTGATCATGTGACCGTGGGGATGCTATGACGGTTGTAAATGCGAAGACCAGTTTTCAGTGCTGTACTTATTTCAGTCAGTCACTAAAGAAATGGTTGTAAATCGAGGATTAGAATTCTTTATTGGCCAAGTGTGATTGGACACCCAAGGAACTTGTCTTGGTGTAAATGCTCTCAGTGTACATAAAAGAAAAGATACATTCATCAAGAGTCAAGAATCATAAGGTACAACACTTAACAATAGTCATAGGGTACAATAAGCAATCAAATTACTTGCATTTATTTTGTCTGGGCCATTCTTGAGTTCAGAAAGCTGTTTCTTTTTTCATTCACGGTGCTCTTTTTGTCTTTAAAGATCTTAATGGACTGTTTTTTAAATCTGGTACATTGGAAGACATGTGGACATCAACTTCCAGAATCCCCCAGTCAGCATCACAACAACTCCAGATGTTGGACTCCAGGTGCCCCAAACTCCCAACCATCTTATTGAGTCACAGCTGGTTTGTCCCCATCCAGGCATGGGGCAGGCACCTGAACAGGTTATGCTGGTATATGTTCGTTTGTTTTATTGATTGATTTTACTGTATTTAGAGCCTGCCACAGACGATGGACTCTGAGCAGAGTACTGCAAAATTCCTTCCCAAAATTACTTAAAAACAGAAACACGTAGTAGAAATCCGTAAAAAGGTTTTCGCTGACATACAGGATGATGCAGTAGTGGAGGTGTTGAATTATGAGTGGGGCGACCAAGTTTTTAATTCCTTCCTCAGTCATAGAAGCTTATCTGCTGAATTTGGGCTAGTCCCTCCCTCCCAGTATAAGAGCCAATCAGGGGTAGTAGGGGGTTGGGCTAGGAGTGGGGAGATCCAGGTTCCATATTCTAGGAAGCTCATTGGTTGTCTTTCAGCCAGTCTCCCCCCCCCATCAGCCCAGCCTACTTTGCAGGAATGTTGTTGTGGGGAAAAATAGTGAACTCCCCCAAAGTTAGAATATAATACAAGGGTCTTCAAACTTGGCAAATTTAAGACTTGTGGACTTCAACTCCCCGAATTCCTGATCTGACACAAGTCTTAAAAGGTGTCAAGTTTGAAGGTCCCCTGCTCTAATAAATAAATATTCAGGTCCATCAAAGGTGCCATTTACTTCACTGGAAGGCTAAATAAGTACTTTCAAAATACCTGAAGGGCCTTCCATAAATTGGGAATCATCACCAAAGCAACCTGTCACTTGACCAATGAACCTGGTGAGCAACAGAGAGCCAGAAGGACAGGCCTTCTTTAAATCACCAAAACGATCCATGAAATCATCATTTTTGCAAAGGGCCATTGTTCAGTGGATCTTGTTTTGCCTTCATTAAAAGATAGGCTGCAGTCCAAGTGCAATAGATACTTAATATAAGTAGTCCTCGACTTACGACTACAACTGAGCCCAAGGATTATGTTGCTAAGTGAGTTTTTCTCCAGTTTACTAACTTTGTCACAGTTGTTAAGTGAGTCACTGCAGTTGTTAAGTTTGTAACACGGTTGTTAAGTGAATCTGATTCCCCCAGTTGACTGCTTGTCAGAAGGCTACAAAAGGTGATCACATGACTTCAGGACACTGCAACTGTCATAAATATGAGTCAATTCCCAAGCATCTGAATTTTGATCATGTGACCACGGGGATGCTGCAAGGATTGTGTGGAAAAAATGGTAATAAGTTGCTTTTTTCAGTGCTGTTGTAACTTCAAACGGTCACTAAGTAAATGTTGTAAGTCAAGGACTACCCGGATAGACCAACTATTAGTCCAGCTTAGAATTTTCTACACCAATAAATATAAAGGATAAGTACAATGGTTTTGCTTTTCTTGCTCCAGAAAACATAAAAACGGCTGCCAAAAATGAAAAGTGATGAAAATTAAACCCAGTGGGATTCTTACGTGCTTATAAAACGCTGGTTTTCCCACTTCTAAAGGATTATGATGAATGTAGTGCACACTGTAATTTTTTTTTTATTTTCTTCATCTTGCAAGGATACAGAGAATTTGCTTCTTGTTAGCAACTGGGACATTTATCAAGAGAATAACTTTTTTTAAGCTGCCCTGGAAGATTTTGGATAATTTCTATAAAGGACGGCAGTCTCAAAGAGAGGGAACAAAAAAAATATAAAGGATGCTTGTATCTTTATAGGCACATTTTGATAACAGGATTGAGAGTCAAGTAATCATCAATGAGAAAACAACTGATTTTTTTTTTTTTGAGAGTGGGGAGCGGGTTTATGGATTCTGTTCATGAAATTTAAAAGTTGTAAGCCACCTGGAGTTACCCTGAGATGGGCAGCCATATGGATTTGTTTCATAAATATCAGTAGTTCTCGACTTACAACTACAATTGAGCCCAAAATTTCTATGACTAAACAAGACAGGTAAGTGAGTTTCGCTCAGTGGTGGGATTCAATTTTTTTTTACTATTGGTTCTGTGGGCGTGGCTTGGTGGGCGTGACGGGAAAGGTTACTGCAAAATCCCCATTCCTTCCCCACCCCACTAACCTGCTTTCCAGCTCCATTCTCCTGTGCAGGGCAACAAAAGAAGACCCAGCTGATCAGCTGGGACTTTGGAGGCAGAGAATAGATGGGGGCCGAGCCAGTCAAGAGGTGGGATTTGCCGGTTTGCCAAACTACTCAAAATTTCCGCTACCAGTTCTCCAGAACTGGTCAGAACCTGCTGGATACCACCTCTGTTTTTGCTCCATTTTACTACTTTCTTGCCATGGTTGTTAAATGAATCACTGAGTCGTTAGCTTAAGCTCACATGGTTGTTAAGAGAAATTGGCTTCCCCCTTCAGTTCGCTTATCAGGTTGCCAAAGAGGATCACATCACATGACCCCGGGACGCTGCAACTGTCATAAATGTGAACCCATTGCCAAGCGCCTGAGTTTTGCTCACGTGACCGGTGGGGGGGGGGGGGGGGGGGGGGGGGGGGGAGGCTGCTACGGTTGCCAAGATCATCATTTTTTTTCAGTGCTGCTATAGCTTCAAATGGTTACTAAATGAATGGCTGTTAAGTCGAGGACAATCCATACATAAACAGCTGAAGATCCTTGGTAACCTCCCATGTGTTATTATTAAAAGATGAGGTGATAGCAGCAGGTCAATACTTATGCCGTTGTAACTTTTCTTAGTGGCCAAGGACCACTTCTACCGACCAGCTGTTTCCTCCTGCCAACCAAGGTGAAGAAGTTAATAGTCCCACCCACCTGTTCCCCAAGGGACAAAAGCTATGAGAATGTCCAGGCATTCGTTTAACGACCATTAAAATTTACAATGTCTCTGTCATGCCCCTGTTGGAATCTGATTCGGAGGGGGAGGCCGAGCAGCTGACAGGGAGTGGGAGTGTGGCTCCATTGGCTGTGGAAGAAACTGGGGAAGGGTAAAGTCCAGCTGGGCATTCAGAGGAAGACCCAGGCCCACCCTCTTCATCCTAGGGCATGCAGGGAGGAACGGAGAAGGGACCAATGTGAGTTGCATGGCTTACGGGGAAGGAAAGGGCCCTGATTCCCTCCATTAGCTACAGCTGGGAACACAGTGTTTAAAAAGGGAAGTTGCGCACAGCAAACTTATTGAGAGCAAATCATAAGTTATCGTTATTGTCAAGGCTTATCTGGGTTCCTGGTGTCTTCCCAACTGTGTGTGTTTTTCTGGCCTTTCAAGTCTGCAATTCCTTATCCTGCCATGTCAAGTTAATTACTGCAGCGTGATTTGTGTGGATTTTAATTTACAGTTTGTATGTTTTCGGACTGAATTTCCTCCACTTAAAGGCTGTTCCTGGGAGAGTTTTTCTCGAACCAAAGGTATCCTGGACATTGGAGGTACTAAAGGGACTCTTCTTACTTATGTGACTGTGTTGCCTTTGTGCCAGGCCCCGGGTCATCACAGCCTCTGAAAAAAATATGTCTTATGACAGCACCTCACACATATGACCATTACAGCATCCCCATAGTCACATGATCAGATTTTGGCTGCTTGACAACCAAGAGGCGTTTATGATGGTTGTAGCATTCAGGGATCACCATTCGTGGCTTTCCCAGGTGGCAAATTAAGAGGGGAAGCCAGATTCGCTTAACGGCCATGAGTTCACTTAACAACTGTAGTGCTACACACTTAGCAACCTTGACAAAAAAAAGTGGTGGTGAAATTGGACATGACTAAGTTAACAACTGTCTTGCTTAGCAATGGAAATTCTGGTCGTAAGTCAAGGACTAGCTGTACTTGCACTGAGGGATACTTGGAAGCAGTGGTCCTATCTCTAGGAACCCTGGCACGGAGGGTTTCTTGTGTGCATCCTCTCCCAACCTTGGCAGGTAAGAAAGTCCCTTTCCCCCCAAAACTTGCATTGAGGGGTGCTGAAAGTGGTGCGGTGGCCTAGAGGTGGAGCTCTCGCCTCACAATCAGGAGGCTGTGAGTTCGATCCTAGGTGGAGGCAGATATTTCTCTCTCTGGGCATACCGAGAATGTATCTGCTGAACAAGACTCTGCGTTGGCGACAGGAAGGGCACCCGGCCATTAAAACACTCTGCTAGCTCCATTCGGTTGCCCAGACTCCACCCTGCAAGGGATTATGGGGTCGTTAAATGAAGAGGATGATGCATAGGAGGAGGCTACTTCCCCATTCCTTCTCTACCTGAGAGTCATGTACACTCATCCATCATTCTTGGAATTTTGGAAAAACAAACAAACTCATTGTCAGGACCTTCAAAAGAAAAAAACAATCTTCCTCGCATTATTTCTCTAGCTTTATTAACATGTTTGGCAAAAGCCCAACGTATCAACTCTACATCATTAAAGTTTAACAAAAATGAAAATAAGCATCGTTTCAGAGCCTACCTGAAGGAACCACAGTTGTTTTAATGTTGGAAGATCATGGAAGAGAGAGGTTTGCCTTGGTGAACAGGGCATGTAATTGTTGTAAAACAAAAAGATTTTTTTGGTTTTCCCCTTCTCTCACCTTTCTCCTTTGGAACAAATCTGAAAGATTATTAAAACCTACTAAGAATTAAGCAAAGGCTGAGAATCGAGCTAAGGATATGTTTGGTTTTGGCCTCTGGCTTGGTCTCAGAAGCAATTCAAACTTCCTCGCTCTTTGAAATAACTAAAGAGTGAGGAAAAGGAGAGCCAGTTGTCCTCTAAAAAGAGAAGGTTGGCCGATACACGGTGGTTTTGCATGCTTTCACGAGAGTCCCTCAGAACTGAGGTAAAAATGACACCCTCACAGAGACGCAATACTCTGGGATAGTTTGTCTGCCCCCCCACCCCCAATTTAAAAACAGTTCCCCTTTCCTAAGTTACTGCAACCCAAATCTTTCTCTTTTGAACTGCAGCTGGAAAACCTCCCTACCATATTTGGGGTAAATAAATTTCCTTATTTATGCCTGTGTTGCTGATCGCCTGCTACATCCCATCCTGTGATCCTTCCCTGCAGGGACCCACCATCAACAAGGAACAGCAACCCAGAATTTCTATGTTCATGGGGAAAGAAACAGGGCTTCAAAGGAAAACCATGAAACCAAGTAGAATGAAGATTATTACACGTTACATTAACAAATGTTTTTAGGCCAATACCCCCTTCTCACAAATGGTTGAGTATGACTCAGGAACATTTTTCTCTGATCACCTCAGTTCCGAGTTGCTCCTTCTCTTTCTTTAATGGGATCACATTTAAAATAATAATAATAATAATAAACGAGGGGGTAAGCTCTGCAACCACAACGAAAAAGTCCAACATCTGTGGGCGGGTAAACAGATGGGAGGCTAAACCTGAAACAGAGTCCTTCTAAACGAAAGAATGGGACATTTTTTTTAATAAACTTGTCACAGTAAACAATCCATCACTGGAGGACCAGGGAGTAGGTGGGAGGTGAGAAGAAACACACTGCAGCATCAATAATAAGGACGCCGAGGGTTGTTCTGGAAGAGGAGAAAAAAAAAAAGACAAAATTCAAATCATCATGGTAAGAGAAGGCCAACAGAATGTGAAGCTCCAACCCAACACCGTCCTTTTTGAAGTGATCATCACGTTGTTTGATATCACATGGGGTGTGCGTGTGATTGTTCAAGGTTTTAACACGTTGGATGAACCGATCACGTTTAACCCCGAAGGCTTAGAAAGTTGCATCCATTCTGGTGTATCCAATAAACGTGATGAAGCAACCTACATCCTGGTGCAATGTGTGAATCCGTTCTTTGAATTCAAGGGAGAAGAAAAACCAGAATAGGCTGACATTCTACGAAGTTAGTCAAATGGTCGTTAAATGAATCTGACTTCCCTATTGACTCTGCTTGTCAGAAGGTCACAAAGAGGAGCACATGGCCCTGGGACATGGCAACCGTCATAAATAGGAGCCAGTTTGCCAAGGGTCCGAATTTTGATCACGTGACCATGGGGATGCTACAACCGTTCCAAGGGTGAAAAATGGTTATAAGCCTCTTTTTTCAGTGCCATTGTAACACTGGTCATTAAACAAATGGTTGTAACTTGAGGATTACCTGGACTCAAGCTTCATTCCAAGAATGAAGAACAGCAGCTGTTCCTGCCGTTTATAAACAACATTTATAACTGTTGTTTGCCTGTTCTATAATACTTTTCTCAGCTGCTGCTATTTTTACTGTTCCCACAGTTAACATGGACTTAATGTTGTGCTACATATGCAAGATTAAATAAAGGCTGAGCTATAAAGAGAGAAAATTGATACATGTAATTTTGAAGATTTACATTTGAAGGATTTCTCAACTGAGATTTGAATAGGCTAGCAACACATCGTGTGAGAATAGAAGGGAGTTTCTGGAAAAAGAAAACTTGGGATAGCTGGCTGGCACCATAAAGGGAAGTTATCTTCTCCACAACGAAGGAGCAAGATCTCCTTCCTAAATATTCTTACACGAATTCTTTCTGCAGCACTGGATACAGCACTTTAAGTGATTAACCTCATTTTGATGTTTGGTAAAATAATCCTTACAATATAGTGCTGCAAATTGTTTAGAATATAGAATAAAAATAGAATATACAATCGATCAATCTATATCAATATAGTCAATCAGTTACAGTGAAGCAAGCAGTCAAAGGCAACTCAGATCAGGACATCTCAATGAAAACAGACCATCCTGGCATTTTCAGAGTAAAATGTCAAGAAATTAAAAGTTCATGCCTGCCCTTGCCTGCCCTGGTGGTGCAGTCGTTGGAATGCAATAGTATAGGCTAATTCTGCCCACAGCCTGGAGTTCGATCCTGACCAGCAGTCAAACCTGGCTCAACTCCATAGCTGCCTGTACCTGCTTTCATCAGCAGCTCTGCCTTACAGTGACGGGAGGAGGGTGGTGAATTCCTAAGGGTGAAGGGAGGCTATGGAATTCAAGTGAACCGCTTCTTGCTAGACAGACATTTTATCTAACAAGGCCGAGGGATGAAGAATATTTTGACTGGAGCAGAGAGCTTTTCCCAAAGCAAAAGAACTGAATTCAACTGGTGAACTATGAACTGCGGGTGGCCGGAGGGGAAAAGAGGAGTTAACTATGTGGGTTTTCAAGGGAAAATCCCAGAACTTACTTTGCTTCTGCCCTGCCTAGATAGATTTTTCAATAAAGCTACTGGCTATTAACTGTTGGATAATCTAAAGAGTTTCTTTTGTTCGATGTGGTAAATGGGACAGTTGACATTGGTTCAAGGTTTGACTCAGCCTTCCATCCTTCCCAAGTTGGCAAAATGAGGACCCAGCTCGTTGGGGGCAATAGGCTGACTCTATAAACCGCTTAGAGAGGGCTGTAAAAGCACTATGACGTGGTATATAAGTCTAAGTGCCAGACTATTTCAAAAAGACTGTTCCAATGTATCCCTAACCTATTTCGGATATAAATCAATTGTATAAGCATCATTTCTAACATGGGGAAAAAGGGCCCCAAGGGGTGGGGCTTCTCTCACCAGTGGGTTGGGCCGGAATCTGTAGGCCAACATCATCCTCTTCCGAAAAGCCTCGTACTCATCATCATCCTTGGACAAATCAGCAGGACGGTCGATCCCAAAGCCTGCTCCATCCACAGCCGTCACCCCCCTGGTTGGGAAAGAGCTGTGTCTATCTTATGTGCATGGACATGAGGAAGCTGCCTTAGACCAGACCTTTTAAGATAGGGTGGATTAAAACCATAGAGTCAGAGGGCTGGAAGGGACTATGGAGGTCTTGTAGTCCAGGGGTCTCCAACCTCGGCAACTTTAAGCCATGTGGACTTTAACTCCCAGAATTCCTCAGCCAGCTTTGCTGGCTGAGGGATTCTGGGAGTTGAAGTCCACAAGTCTGAAAGTTGCCGAGGTTGGAGACCCCTGTTCTAGTCCAACCCCTTTCCAAGGTAGGGGTTCCTTATACTTTATTACAGGTAGTCCTTGACTTACAACCACAACAGAATCCAACATGCTAAGCGAGACATTTGCTAAATGAGTTTTGTTCCGTTTCACAACCTTTCTTGCCCTAGTTGTGAAGTAAATCACTGCAGCTGTTAAAGTTAGTCACATGATTGTTAAGTGAATCTGGCTTCCCCACCGACTTTGCTTGTCAGAAGGTTATAAAAGGTGATCACATGACCCCAGGATACCGCAACCATCCTAAATATGAGACAGTTGCCACGAGTCTGAATTCTGATCGTGTGAACATAGGGATGTTGCTATGGTCACAGGGGCGAACAATGGCCATAAGTCGCTTTTTCAGTGCTGCTGTAACTTTGAACGGTCACTAAAAGAAACTGCTGTAAGTCGAGGACTACCTGGATTTAGGGACTTTGCTCTTGGAGCTGAAGCAGGGTTGCCATAACTTCCAAACCAAGTAAGAGAACCGGAGTGGTTATACTGGGATATCATGAGGATGGTGGGCCAGAACCAGAGCAAGTTTCTAGTAGTTCCCCCTCAGCCACAGGAGCTCTCTGGGGAATTTTGGGCCAGTCTTTGTTTCTCTACCCAATTATCTCACAGGATTATTTATTGTGAGGAAAAATAGAAGAGGGAAGGTACATACCCCACCTTGAGCAACTTTATGAAATCTGAGGTAAAAATCCAACATAACACAGGTAGTCCTCGACTTACACCGGGGCACTTAGCAACCATTTGAAGTTATGACAGACTCTCCAGGGTTACTCACCACCCAGATTCAATGTTCTGATGGCTGGGTCCAGCTGTATTTTGGGTGCTTGGCAAATGGACCACATTTATGGCTGTTCCATGTCATGTGACTACAATCTACGATGGGGTTTCTTTTTGCCAGAAAAAGCTTATTTCCAGCAAAAAAAAAAAAAACCCAACAACAAAACCACTGCTGATTCACTGAATAGTGCTTAATGTCCATGGTGATTCACCTAACAACTACTGCAAAAAAAAGATTCTAAAATTGGGCACAGATGTGTGGTGACCCATTTAATGACAGGCATGATTTACGACCAGTATTCTGGTCTCAGTTTACGGTCATAAGTCAAGGACTACCTGCAAATACATTTAATTTTTTTTACACTGGGACACCTTGCTACCAAGCCAAAACCTGTGACTGCCAAAGAGAGAGAGACAGAGACAGAGAGAGACAGAGAGAGAACGTTCATAATGACCCTGGTGTGAGAAGGGGTTAGCAGGTCATCCCTTCCAAGCAGATCATCTAGAACAGTGGTGGCTAACCTTTTTGGGCTCCCGTGCCGGAAATACCAGAAGTGCCAAAATGGGCCCGTTTTTCGGCCTCCAAAGGCTGCAGAGGCTTCCCTCAAGTGTCAGAGAGGCTGAAAATGGCCTCAAACAGGCCGAAAATCAGCTGGGAGGTGCGTGCATCCGCAGTGCAGGTAGGTTTGGCTGGGACTTGCGTGCCCCCACAAATGGCTCCGTGTGCCACCTGTGGCATGTGTGTCATAGGTTCGCCATCAGGGATCTAGAATAACGGCCCCCCAACCTTTTGGGGCATCAGGGACCGGTTCTGTGGGGAGATGTTTTTCTAGGGACCGAAGGGGGCATGGTTTCGTGTGCTGCCTTCATCCTGTGGATGGGGCTTCACTTGTTTGTGTGGCCCAGTAGCTGGCATGCTGCAGACCGGGCGCCGATCCACGGATTGGGGGTGTGTGTGTCCCCTGATCTAGAATGACCACTGATAGGCAGACTCATGGCAGTGCACGTGACACACATGATGCTATCTCCAACTCCTTCCTGTCTGTTCAGAGAAGGAAGCAAACTTTCCTTGCTGCGACAATGTCATTCAGTCTGTCCACAGGGGGGGGGGGGGGGGAGAAGAGAGAGACAGGCGCTTGTTTTGATTTTTCCCTCTGAGGTTTCTCCTTTCTACCACCTGCTGAAACATCCCTGATTCTCATCTGTCTGCAACCAAACACCTGAAAAGCAAATTATTCTAAACAACTTGGACTTTCAACTGCTAAGCCAATATGTCATATCAGAAAGCACATCTTGGTGATGTTATATAAAAAGTAGATTTTATTCTATCAATTTTATAACTGTCTTCTTTCTACACTGATGTTCTATATGTTTTGGTTTTTTTTTTTTTTAAACTTGGTTTTCTAGCTTGTTCGCTGCTCTGTGTGTTTCTGAGCAGGGGAAAATGGAAGGACCCCCCCCCCCCAAATCAAGATATAACAAAAGAGGGATCAGACACCTACTTGTTCACAGGAGCTTTGATACCCTGACCATCAGATCCCAGACCATCACCTTCCTTCCAGCCCATTTTCATCAGCATCTGGTAACCGATGTTTTCCACGGTCAGTTTAAATTCTTTGTATTCAGAGTAATCAGGCTCACGGCCTTCCTGTGGAGGAAGAAAACAATAGTTTGAAAAGAAATCATGCATGAGAATCTGCTTCAAAACAATGTCTCTCCACTGTGACAATTTAAAGAGATGAGGACTTCAAAATTCCCAGAATTCTCCAGCCAGCAAAGAATTCTGGGAGTTGGAAGTCCTCACCTCTTTTAGTTGTCAAGGTTGAGAAACACTGTTCCAAGCTGTCACTATGACTGACAAGCAATGACCTTTTTCAGTCCCCTTTCAAAGGCCCATGCCACCTGTCTGGAGGCAGCGACCCTTTAGTGCAGGGGTCCTCAAACTTGACAGCTTTAAGACTTGTGGACTTCAACTCCCAGAATCCTTCCTCCAGTCATGTTAGCTCAGGAATTCTGGGAGTTGAAGTCCACAAGTCTTCAACTTGCCAAGTTTGAAGATCCTTGCTTTAGTGCAGGGGTCTCCAACCGTGGCAACTTTAAGACTTGTGGACTTCAACTCCCAGAATTCCTCAGCCAGCAAAGCTATTTGAAGAATTCTGGGAGTTGAAATCTACAAGTCTTACAGTTGCCAAGGTTGGAGACCCCTGCTTTAGTGGGTCTTCTAGATCTTGTGGGGTTTTTCCTTTTTGGACAATCCTCCAGTTCCATTGCTATTAGAACAGGAGTATAAAAAAGTATTCTCTAGGGAATAATTTTATATAGCTATTTCTAGACTGCAAAGCTCTAAGCAGTTTAGGATTTCTCTATAGAGAAGTGGTGCCTCAGTAATCTCCCATTACTTTTGGTTATCCTTCTTTGCTCCTTTCCCAGGTTTGAGGCCATGCTCTTTGGGGTGAACACACACAACCATGAAGTAGAAAAATTCTGAATCTGAAACGTTTCTAAGTTTGGAGGGGCCTCTTGGAGGCTTAAATGCTGTTCCAACTGCCCTGCCAATATTTTCAGTTGCAACTGGTATACTTTGGAGTTGATTGCCAACCCATTTGGAACAAACTGACTTTTGAAATTGTTTGAAATTGTTTTGTCTATTGCATGTATCTAATGTGTTGCCTGATTTTTTTTTTCCAAACAGGAAAAACAGATCCTCTTTCTCTTCCCTCCTCCCCGCTCCCATCCTCTTCCTCCTCCTCCTCCGGAAACATTCAATCACACACATATATATAAGCTGTCCTAAACAGAAGGACACTAAACATTTTACCTTCAGAGCTTTGAAGGTTTCCATAAACTTCTCAAGCTCATCAGGGGGCAGAAAATCTCCAATGAAATGTTTTCCTCGGCCCATTTGAGTCAGCTGCTCCGCCCATTCTGAAAAAGGACCAGGCAGAACAGAATTACTTCTCAGCAAGACGTTGTTTGTAGAACATACAAGATGTCCTTGATTTAACAACCATTTATTTGTTCAGTCACGGATTCCAAGTTACAATGGCCCTGAAAAAAAGGCACTTGCGACCGGTCTTTACACTTACAACCACTGCAGCATCCCCATGGTCACGTGATCAAAATTCAGGTGCTTGGCAACTGGCTCATATTTATGACGGTTGCAGGGTCCTGGGGTTGTGGTCCCCTTTTGTGACCTTCTGACAAGCAAACCCAACGGGGAAGCCAGATTCACTGAACAACCGTGTTACTAACTACTAACAACTGCAGTGGTTCACTTAACAATCGTGGCAAGAAAGGTTATAAAATGGGGCAACTGTCTCACATGGCAACAGAAATCTTGGCCGTAACTGTGCTCGTAAGTCAGGGACTTTCTCTACAGGGTCAACACACATTAAGCCCATGAATTTGTTGGGATCAGCAATTTTATGCTGGACCCAAGAGAATTTCTTTAGAATATCCATATAACTCCAGGCACCAGGCTTATAATTAAGGAGGAGCAGGGAGCCTGTTCTCACGCAGGGAAACTTGAAAATGGGTGGACTCCGAATCCCAGAATTCCCAGCCAGCATGGGGGAGGGGAAAGTCACAACCGATGAGTTAAAATTGAGTCCTCTTGCACCAGATTCTGTAGAGTAGCGGTTCCCAATCTTTTGAGCCCAGGGACCGGTTTTGTGAAACACGGTTTTTCCACGGACTGGGGAGACGGAGTGTGCAATCTAGGGCCCGTGTGTGCGTGTGCCGTTTCGCTCGCCTGCTGCTCACCTCCAGCGGTGCAGCCCAGGTCCTAACAGGCCATGGGCCAGTGCTGGCCTGAGGCATGGGGCTTGGGGACCCCTGCTGTAAAAATAAAAGCTTTACAAGGAGAAAGTTATGGCTTTGTTAAGAGTAATGAAGAGTTTAAGCGTTGGGAAAATTTACAGAATGTTAAGTGTCAACTCATAAAATATTTCTATGGTCTTTTTAGAGTTGCCAACAGAAAGGGAGGGGGGAGCAGTGTAGCAGCTTGCAAACCGAAACTGCATTCCATAAATGTTTCCAAAGATAGTAACTAGGTGACCGAAGTTTGTGCTGCGCAAAATTCTAACTGGAGAGGATGATTGATGACTCTTGGCTATGGATGTTTCCCATTGGAGAATATGAATTATGATACATCCAGCGGGTGGGGGGAAAACCTGGGCCAAGGAATGGCCAATGAATGGCCAATGAATGATGTGTCTCAGAGTCGGTTTCACCCAGGCAGCGCCGGCATGTTTACTCCTAATAAATCTTTTTTAAGTTTTGAAAGTTTGACTAGAGACTTATGATTTAAATGGGAGGGGGGGGGGGAGGGCAGGGGGGGTAATTGCTGGAGCCCTGACAGCAAGGGTTGGAAATGATTGTAAGACTCATCTAGTTTGTTTTCAGTTTCTGGCAAAAATAAAAATACAAAAATCCATTGAAGACAATGGATTTGCTTTACAACTGCTGCAAAAAAGGTCGTAATGACCCAACTCACAAATAACATAATGCACAAATAACATAATAGCATAGTGACCCAACTCACAAATGACATAAGCACAGCTTATGACCCTAATTCCAGGCTCAATTCTGGTCGTAAGTCAAGGACTATCTGTATTGTCTAGATCAGGGGTGTCAATCTCACGTTGTCATGGCATTGTCATGTGATGTATCGCGACTCCCCGCCCCTTTCGCTAAACTGGGCATGGGCGTGGCCAGTGTGTGCGATGCATCTGGGCTGCGAGTTTGACAGCCCTGGCCGAGATCAAGGTAGACACGAAGTCTTCCCTGTCTCCCCTGTTAAGCACTAACCACGGGTCTTGTCCATCTCCATGCGCCTCAGCTGGTGCTCCCACGTGCCCAACTCATTGTCGATTTCCTCATCGCTGTCGTAGCCGGACTGGTGCTCTTTGATCGTCTTCTCCCACATGATCTGCATCTCCTGCATGGCCTGTTTGTGCTTCATGATCATGTCGTACATTTGCTGCATCTGTAGAACAGAGTAGGATTCTTAACTGGCCATGTGTGATTGGACACACAAGGAATTGGTTACCGGTACATAAACTCTAAGTGCACGGTACATACAAACAACAAAATGATAGATATCATAGATCGTAAAGGAGAATATTTAAAGCTCAGTACTGCCATGAGGGGTCCTTTGGTGCTCTCTGAGCTTGCTTGTTTTCTTGCAGACATTTCATTACCCTAATCAGGTAACATCATCAGTGCTATCGTAGTAAGGAGTGCTGTTTGCTGTCAGATTATATTCTGGTATCTTGCTTGCCTGTGTGAGTGAGGGTGGTGGTTGGGCTGTTTACTGATGGCTCTTTGGCACTTTCTTGATTGGGATATTGCTTATGTCAGCGTTCCAGAAAACCTCCACTCCAACAAATAATTCCAAGACAGACATCATCTCCAAGGTTCTTTTTATTAAGAGTAGTAAACTGGCAGATCTGGGAAATCCCGAATGTGAAAGTTCCGGGTTTCCTTGCAATAAGTAAAAACTACAAATCCACCCCCTGCACCCATCATTGCATCAAATGCCCCAATCACCATCCGTCCCAACTTGAGACGTCTTCTTACCCAGGTGCAGAAATAACATGACCTTGACTTAGAAGAAGAATGCTATTATGTCTATCCACATACACTCCAAGAACTTCCCCCCTCCCACTTTCCCAGGCTCAAGAATGTGGCAGCGTGGAAGCATCTGGTGCTAATATGGCTTCCAAAGCTGACAGCTTATTTGATTGTTGGTCTGAAGTTAACCTTGGAGTTAAGCTACGCTGATCTGAGTGCGGATTACTGGTGGAGAGATGCTGGAGTCTTTTTGTTCTCTTTTGGGCTCTTCTGCATAGTCTATATAGATGTTGTCAACATCTATTTGTCTGTTGATGACTGATTAACTATCCTTTAAACTCTGCACCTAATCTGTTTGGTTGCTGTGCCAAACTGGACAGTTATTGAGGTACAAATGCAATAATTCCTCTGTAGAACTGTTATCAAACAGAACCTTGGACAAACTGAGCTTTCTTAGCTGATGCAGGAAGAACATTCTTTGTTGTTCCTTCATATTCTTGCATAAAAAAAACCATGGCGGCCAATCCCAAGCGGCCAATCACTGGCAACTTTAAACCAGTGCAGTCCTGCAAAGTGCTCACCAGCTTCCCTAGGAATGGGCTAAGATGGAAACTTCAGGAAGAGAGGTAAACCCTATTTTAATAGACCACCTGAAAGGCTTGAAAGGGTGTGTTTTGCTTTGGAGAACCTTCCATTTCTCCACCTTTTTATCATTTCCACCAGAAAGCAAGCTGAGAAGAGAAGCGATTTATAATGAAGGTTTGGACTGCAGAGGGCAGCAAAATTATCTGCCTCCTTATGCTGCAAGGTGATGTGGAAGCTACAAGCCCTGAACCGGCAACTTCCTCTGTAGGGACGGGGATCCTGATGCTCCAGGAAGGACTTCTTATCCATTACTGCAATGTTTCTTTACCTTGGCAACTTTACCATGTATGGACTTCAACTCCCAGAATTCCACAGCAAGCATAACTGGCTTTCTTAAAATTCTGAGCAAGAATTCTGTGGAATTCTCGGGAGCTGAAGTCTATACATCTTAAAAGTTGCCAAGGTAGAGAAACAGTGCCTTATCGGATCTCTTCCTCAACACAGAGAAGACTTATCGGTGCTTATATGAGCCTTGTGGCAAACCATGTTTGAAGAAAGCCTGAGGAAGCACATGCCTCTACTTCTGCATCATTCAAACCCTTCCCCACTAGAAGGTAGGTGTCCCAATTAGCTCTATTCCACAATTTTTGCTTTGCAGAACCAGGAAGAAACCAGAAAGCAGCTGCTTAAATCTTTCAAACACAGGCTCCAGTCTCATCCATACTGTATAATATGCCATTTGCTGAATAAATTAGTTGCTTGCATTTGTACAATGTAGTAAGTCACAAGCATGGTATTACACATCAAAAACACTAGGTTTGCATAATATGCTAAGGCAAAACATTTGTAAACCTACT